AGAAGACGAGGGGGTGAGGTCCTCATTTATAAAGACTCCCCTGTGTGAACCCCATGCAAGGCCACACCCTGGATGCAAACTCAAACTTGCTCGCCGAGGTGCACGTACAAATTCTCACACAGTCATAAACACACACATATGCTGCGCTACAAAGATATACCCACAAATATGCAGTATATACAAGGCAACGGACAGATTACCTTTAAACACACAAACTGCTCTGGTGCCGCATGTGTCACTGTCCTTTCATATTTGTTGGACGTGCATATCGGTGTTTGTGTGCATGTGTGGTTTTTTCTTTTCAATGGATGAGTGTGAGTGATGCAAAGGCACAGCAGTCTACAGTTTTGTCCTGTTGAGTCATTGCTGCTTGGCTGATGAAATGGAGAGTGGTGTCACATCGCTGAGCTGTTTATTAGCTCTAAGGAGACAGGGAAATGTAATCAAACTGTCCTGATTGAGTCCTGTGACGGCCATTCATCATCCCACATTAGAGCCCACGATGAAGAAATATTAGCATTTGGCCTCACTGGATGTGTTGAAATTTTTCCCAGAAGAGAGGAGGCCTTGAATAACTAGAAACGTTTGTTTGGGTGTTTGTGTTCACGTCTGTATTATATTTATGTATTTATGGGTATATGTGTATTGAAACATGACAAAATTATCAAGTGTCAAACAGACTTTTGGTGTCGTTTACTGTTTACGTTCGACTTTAAAAGCCTTCAAATGTGTTTGCCGTGTGTCTTCATGAGGGCCACCACACTGGGGACCAGTTAGGAGCAGATCGTGTCCAGCTGTCTCTGAGGACAAATGGTACATCAGGCAACTGCTTATTCCCTCCACCCTCTCCTCTCGCCCCTCCACCCTATATTTCTCCCCTCCCTCGTCATTCCCCCCAGTGTTTACTTGACTTTAAGTGCTAAAAAACATTTTTAGTGCTTTTATCATTTTATGGATTCCATCACAGGCCGAGAATAGCTGTGTTGTGGTGACAGCTTCCTGGAAATTGGTTGGTGTTTATGGATAGATGGTGTTTTGTTTTATGGGTTTCACATGGAGGGTAATGGGCATTTGAGTTTGTTTTTATATATTTTTTAACTTTTATAAACTCCCCCAGGTTTACAGGTTTAAGTTAACATTTGGCAAATCCTGATGGAGAACAAAATAATGGGACAATCATATAGCAAAGTAAATTATTACTGCTTGATATATATGATATTAGCATTTTTTATCCAGTCTATATAAATGCTCATGTTTGGTATTTATGTTACATATTTTCAGCACTTTGGGAATTTAACTACCAACATGTTCTTATAAACATGTCATGGTACTTCTATACATGGGGGAGTGAAACCTAAAAGCATTCCCTCACCAGCACCCGTATTTCTCCAAGCTGACGGCAGCTTCATCTCTTGGCAGCCTTTTCATAATTCATCTCTTTTGGCTTGTTTATGCTGCACATTTATTTTGTTTGCGGTAACATTTCCCCGACCCTCACATCTCTCAATGTGAAAAACGCTAATGCGACTCCAACACAACATCAAAGCCTCCCGCCCAATGCCCTCTCTGGCTGTTTCGATTTATGGCTTTTTCTTTCACCTTCTTATAAGATAAAAGACCATCAGCGCTCCCCACATGTACATATGTGCATGGACACACACGGACATATACTGCCACATGGGGATGCACATATGTACACACACTTTCTCTCTCTCTCGCAGCCCCACAGTCATGTCCAAACAGAATGATCAGTAAATCAAATAAAACACCCACAGTCTTTCAGAGAGAAGGAGTGTGCTCCAAACAACGGAGAGATAAAAAAGGATCAAAAAAGAGAAGGAGAGGAGGAGGGGAGGAGTGGACACGGGGGATTGTACGTCCTCGTGAAAGTAGCCCTCAGAAACAAAAGCAGCTTTGAGTGCGCACCCACTCAGAAGAGAGATTAGTCGGTACACACCCCCCTCAACACACCATCACCACCACTACCCCTGCAGAAAAGAGCTTTGGCTGCAGTTTAGCGGCACGTGGCGCAGCCCTTGATACTTATCATGTGCGTCAGGTGCTCTCGCTCAGTTTCCTGTTCTTTAAAACATAACCACCATTTCCCTCTTTCACTCCCTCCTTCTTCTCCTTCTCTCGGTCCAGAACTAATCCATCCACACTGCTGCCATCCAGTCTTACCCTTCATTTCTTCTTACTCTCTTACTCTCTCTCTCTCTCTCTCTCTCTTTCTCTGTCCATCTATTTCTCTTGCTTTTACAAATACAAAGAACATATTGTATCTGCCAGCGTTAAAGTGAATCCATTCTCCTTGGCAGCAGCCTGGCCCGTGGTGAATCTGAGCTGGGCTAGCTCTGTTTTCCAGCTGGCACCGATGCTGCTGGTAGAGCGGGTTGGTTGCTCGTTGGGTTGGTGAATTTGAGTCCAGCTGACACGTTGGTTTAGGAGTCATTCACGCAGTCTGTCGTTCTCCCTCTTCCTCGTTCTCACTCAACTTGCACAGCATGACCCCAGTTCACCTCATATGAAGCAAATATGAGGATGCTGGTTTATATCTTTATTTGCACAAACAAAGTGTTTCTACAAACAGGAACTTCTGTAATATCACAAGTTTCTGAGAGATACACTAAAGAAAGAAACATTCAAGGGAAGATTAACAAATAGGTCACATGAATATACCCGACTGACTTTTTCACACATCCATTGCATTAGCTGGTGGTTTTCAGCTGCTCGTCTCTCCATCTGGAAACCAAACCGTTGAGCCCTTTAGAAACCAGAGAGGAAGAATATTTTAAGGTCATGGTAGTGCTCCTATTTAGTTGTGGAAATTCTTGTAAAAGTCATGGAATTTTACATCAGGGCCACAGCAGGAAGCCTGAACTCAAACACAAAAACATACACACCCATGCATACACAAGCTCTGACCTACACATACTCATGACTAATAATTTTGAATAGTAACAACACCCTTGTGTATCCGCACAGTCTCGCATACACAGACACACACATAACCCAAAACACATTACCAAAGTAGCACACTCTTTCATGAATGCCGATATAAACACAGTGACACAAACACATCAATAATGAGATGCTATCGCATTTCATAATCATGGTTCAGGCCCAGAAACTGAATACAATCTCCTCCCCTCCCCACAAATATGAAAGAGACCAGAAGATAAGTCAACGCACTCACAAGGCAGCGAAAACAAACTTTTAATAAAGGCCACCAGAGCCTTTTGAAGTTTGTCTGACTGCCCTCCCTCTTTTCTCTCCTCTATCTTTCATCCTTCCATCCACTTCATCCTCTGGCCTCTCTTAACTGCTGGCCCATGCTTGTCATAAAACAATCACACACATCTTCTCTCCTGCTTGCAATTTTCTTTTATGTTGTATATCTGTGGGTTTTTATATATATATTTTTTCATTACAGTTAAGAGCACTGGTCAGCTTTTGATGTTTTTAGGCCAAGGCTGTGAGAGGAATAGGGCAAGATGTGGGGTCAATTTGTGTGTTGTGCATTCACTACATATAGTACAGTTTGCATCTGTATAACTCTCAACCTCTTCTGAAGATGATTAAAAAAAACTGTGTTTTATGGCGCAGTATGACAGGTTTAGTTACGTTAATTTGTTTATGGTTTGGTTTGGTTTAGGTTAATGTTCCTGTAAAGTGTTTAGAGTACAGGCACCGAAATGGGGCACAGATGTTGGTCATTACCCAGATGCTTTGTTTGAAAGCTCCATGCAAAATCTCAGAAACTGTGAACCTGTAGCAGTTCTAAATCAAATTGTGAATAATCGTAAATGACATGCAGCAACGTCTGGCAGATTTTTGTAGGAGAATGGGAAAGTCATCCTAAATCATGCAGTTACTGAGATAAGACCTTAATTTGTAAAATATACACTGAGCATCAACTGAGCCTAGTGGCTAAGTGGTAATGACATGACTCACTGACGAGACTCATAAACAAGCTGTAGCATGATTATGCAACTGCAATGCCAATCCTTTATGTTACATTTATTTAAAAACTGGTGACAATTTAAGAGAGTTAATACTGTTTCCAGAACAGCTGCCATGTTTTCTCAATTTGAAAGTCAGAAGCAAACACAGTGGGAGTGGAGGATTCATCCTGTCAGTCAGCTTAAGGAGTGGTCTGTGTTGAATGCGTCAGTAAAGGAGAGAACTCAACTAATGTACAGTCTAATTGAAATGATGGCCTAACAAATTCGTATCCAGCTGGCTTTTAGAACATGAGGTAGAGTGTACAGAAAACAGAGGTGGTGTGCTATGGCATGCAATTATGTGTCACCTCGCAGGTGGTGAGTGTGCTGAAGTTGTGGTAATAAACCAGAATGCAGCTGTATTGAATTTAGCTATGGTTATAGCTAGTTGCCTGCTGCTTTTGTTTTTTAAACCTTGCTTTATTCTTTTGACAAGATCAGCACATCAGTGGCCTGCTGACTTTGCTGGTTTAATGTGGTGTGTTTGTAGCTGTATCTGAGTGTGTGTGTGTGTGTGTGTGTGTGTGTGTGTGTGTGTGTGTGTGTGTGTGTGTGTGTGTGTGTGTGTTGGTGTCAACCCCCTCTCCTGGAGACAAAGGCCACTTGTGTCCATTTCTTTCCTGCTTTCAAATTTATTTTCCTTTTCTTCTGGCTTTTTTTTTTTTTTAAATTTCCCTCTTCCTTTACTCTCTCTTTCTGGCCTCTCCCTCCCTCCCCTCATCCCTGATCTCCATTCTCCATTCATGCAGCCCTGTCACGGCGATGATAATGATGACCTCTGTGTAATGCTAGCTTGTTATTGGCCCACCAGCGTGGCCAGTGTGTGCACCCTCTGTTGCTTTTTCTGCATTGACCATTGTGTTACGAGCGAAAAGCTGGACCTTGTGTGTTAGTTTGTGTGTGTGTGTGTAGGTGAAACACAAAGAGCAGGCAGCCAGTCTGGGTGAGCTGCACAGTGGATCTATGGAGAGGCAGAAAAATTTACCTGAACTGACCTTATGCTGTTGCTTTTATTATACTGTAGTCTTTATAATTTTATGCAAACATTGGTGGGACATAACTGGAGACAACCACTCTAGTATCTTTGTTACACTGGATATTAACACATAAATCCCTTTTTGTTGTGGAAATTATTTAAACATGGTACCTCCCTTTTATTTTAGACGCATTTACCTTGTGCTGCTTGCTGTTGACAGTTGATACATCACAACAGTAACTCTAATCTGTTGGCTGTTCAAGACAGCAACCGAAAAACAGGAAATGAGATCATCCAACATCTGAGTTTGAATTTTTTGGTCACTGAGCTTTAAACATAACAATGACATATTATCACCTTCAAAAATGTACATGGTGAATGTGCAACTTAAGCATCAATTACGAACTTGTTTCTGGCTGTTGAAGTCTGAGATATACTCTCCTTTTAGCAACAGCCTGTCTTGGAAAAAATGTGGCAAGCTTTTCATCTCTGGACAGTAGCAGAAATAAAAATAAAATGTTCTGCTAATTGAAGATAATTTAACAGAAAGAAAATGGACTAGTAAATAAATAAAAACACAAAACACAATCTGAAAATTAAGAACACTACATATTTTGGGTTTTGACCATAACAGCATTTTAAAACCTTACTCAGTCATTCAAAATCCTATTTCCACTGGAATGAACATCATTGTGAGGCATGCTAGTGCTGTGTACGTAGACCAAGTCCTAACAAAGGTGAAAAGAATGACGCTATAAAATGTTATGCAGGTTGTAGCACCAGGCCTTCTGAGGTCATAGTGGTTGGAAAACACATTACGCATTCATTACAGCATGCAAGGACGGTGACCTGTGCAATTGTTTTCCTCTTGTCTTATCTCTCTTTCTGTCCCAGCTCTGTCTCCATTGTCTAGTGCGATTGAGAGCATTTCAATGACAGGAATCTTGTTTTGTTGAATAGCGCGGCCTGGTCGGACACCGATGCCAAGACATTCCTGGAGCTGGTAGTCTTTCCTTCTGGCAGTCCTGCACCTCTGTCTCCTCTACTCTACTCTTGTATTTTCTCTATTTTGCTTCCTTCCTTTTCATTCCGTAGTCTTCCTCAAGGTGACTGTCAGAGAGAAACGGAGAGATAAAGAGAGAGAGAGATAGTGAGAGAGCAAGAATGGGAGGTACATGTGTCTCTTTGAGTTGCTGTGTTTTTGGTTGCCTGTGTACGTGCTCACTGTCTGTGTCTTGATTGTTCAAAGACAAGCTATGTGCTCTGTAATCCAGTCAGGACTGCACTATTCAGTATATATACTGGCCTTGTTTCCCATGCTGAATAAGCCACACCAATCCACAACACCTAAATACCATTCATTACATATCAAGGCTACCACGCAACTCCCTCAGTCTACCTCATCCAGTATCTCATATCTCATTTGCATGTCATGTCTCCATTCGTCAGTAATCATGTGATGATAGAATTTGGCACGGATCACAGAATGCAGCGATAGCAGCTCCAAGCTTTTCTCCAGGCTTTATATCTCTCCAACAGATGGCAGTGTGAATCGCTGTTTCGGCACAGGCCAGCTAGTGAGGACTGTGTGTGAATTAAGGACTGCTGTTCTACATGACAGTAATAGGAAAGTACACCTCTCCTCTTCTCTTCTCTTCTCTTCTCTTCTCTTCTCTTCAAACAGACAAGATAAGTTAATCACCTCTGATTTTCCCTAATGCATTTCTACTTATACAGTAGTTTTACAGTTAAGTTAGAAAGAAGTTGTATGACAGTCTACATATTTTCAGCATACAGTATTTTCTGTATTTACTGCAACACCTACAGTATTACAGCCAAATGTTTACTGTATATTCAATTACATTCAATTAAATATTCAAAACCAAGGCAAAGACACTATATTCAGTCACTGAGGAAGTAGTCAAATCATGTACTTCACTAAAACTAACTAATGCCATGCTGTAAAAATACAAGTAAAAGTCCTCACTTGAAAGACTTGAGTTAAAGTATGTAAGTCTCATCAAGAAAATGTACTGAGAGTATTAAAGGTTAAAGTACTGACATTGGGATTCTGTACTGCTGTTTAATTTTGTTCTGTAAACTGAAAATCTATAAATAAAGTGTTTTTAAAAAGTACTGGATGCAGAAAGGGACCCTGGGACTGTTATACCATTATATAGCATTAGATTATTATGACCATTGCATTAATGTAAAAGTAGGATTTTACTGTCGTAGTTGGTTGAGGTGGAGCTAATTTTGAACTATTTTGTTCAGGATTGCAACTAATGCTTTTTTTCATTATGGATCAGAGGAAAAGCTGCAAATTTTCACATGTGAAGCTGGAACTGTGAAACGTTTTTGAAAAATTACTTTAAAAGTCAAAAAGTCAGCCGCACTTTTCTCAAAAATGTTGAATTAGTAAATTAACTAAAGCGGTCAAATTACTCTGCTTGTAGTGGAGTAAAAAGAATAGTTCCCTCTGAAATGCATAGGCCCAGAAAGTGGCATGAGAAGAAAACAGTCAAGTAAAGTACACGTACCTCAAATTGTAATTTGAGTACAGTACTTAAGTACAGTTAGATTCCACCACTGACTATATTTCAGTTGTCTTTTGCATCCTTTTACACACATCTCACAACATTCAGCCTGACATATGGGGTAAGTTACATCTCTGGAAACGTTTATATCTTCAGTAGAATAAGAAGAAAATAGAATTTACTGCAGCAGCAGAACATAGTTTGGTGATTGATATTGGAAAGTGATGAGCAAATATCTTAATTCTTAAAGCCTGTATCTGGAGCCCGCAGGTGGATGCTGGGTGGTGGTGGGGCTGAAAGCACAGGGAGCCATACTGATGAAGGGCAGCTGCGAAATTGACAGAGCAGAAGGAGAAATGGGAGATCTTGCAACTTAAATACACCGCCCAAATTGGGAGGGTGTGTTTGGTATATGATTATAGAAAGAGACATCTCACGTGTGTATACAGCAGTGCAGCTCGAGGTTGACTGTCTGAACTAGCTTGCAAAGGCATCGCTCCATTTGTGTGTCTTTGAACAATGCTTGGCCGCACAACATTTGTAATGAATCTCCAGTAAGCTTTATTAAGCAAACTCTTGTCAGATCTGAAAGTATGATGTGACTGGTATGTCTGACAGGTGGTGTTTGTTCTTGTTCTGACACTGGCTGCTTTTATTGCCCTTTATGCTGCAGCTTCAGTGTCTAAGAAACAAAAATACCCTACAGGGATAATAAAGTTGATTTTATTACATCTTATCTTGTTATGAATTTCGTCCACGTACCTAATGTAATTGGAAAATCCATGGTCTATTCAGAGCACTGTCACTACACCATCTATTAGCAGGATACATTTAGTTTACTTTGCAGGACAAACTAGTCTGTTAGTCTGGTGACAACTTATGATGACTTTTACCCTGAGGTGTCACTCAGGTGTTAACTCACATCAGCCCTTCATTAGTTTGCTACGCCCAAACTCTCCCCTGTAGCTCTTGGGCCACTGTTAAAGGACCAGTGTGTAGGATTTAGTGGCATCTAGTGGTGAAGTTGCTGATTGCAACTAACTGAACACCACTTCCATCTGTATTGGACGACCTGGGAATGAACATGAGCTGTGAGGTGTGTTGAAACTGTGTGAAACCGCGAACCTAGTGAAAAACGCAACAGGCCAGGTGCTACTGCAGAAACATGACGGTTAAACATGGCGGACTCCATAAAAGGCGACCTGTGGAGTCTGTAGATAAAAACGTCTCATTCTAAGGTAACAAAAACATAACCAATTACTATATTGAGGTGATTATACATTAAAGGCACACTATGCAAGATTTTTACCTTAATATAACAGCTTCTAAGTCATTTCGATGGTTAACAAACTCGTAGTATAGCGAATCATCCCGATAGCAAAGCAGGAGAGGGACGCCGTTGGCAGAACCAGCAATGCAAGTCTGAAAGGTGGCGTCACGCCAAATCTCACGAATCACGAATTGCTTTACGGCGCGACATCACATACATCAGCGACATAAGAAGCAGCCTCAATGGAAAACACTAGCAGGCATTCACTCAGACGTTACCTGGTCAGTAGACATCTTCGGAGTCTATCTTTGCCTGTTCGATGTCCGACGCTTCCATCCTACTGAACATGTACCGGTATACGGGGGGGGGAATCAGGCTATGAGTGCAGAGACGCAGAGCTGTATATAGAGACGGCTCTGGTGAGTGGTATTTACGACAGTTAACGTTAAATACAAGTACTCCGCAGCGACTCTAGGGGTAGCTGTTTGACAAAACCGGAAAACTGCATAGTATGCCTTTAATGAAAACATGCCTATGAATATTATATTCAATTTCTGCCAATAGATCCTCCTAAATGTTACACACTGGTCCTTTAATGTGGTCACTCGTGTTTGTTTGTTGTTTGCTAGGTGACCGGCAAACTAGCACAAACAAGTGTGTGAACACACTGTTTGCACTGTTTCTCTACTTGTATACGTTTTTATCAGTTTATCGGGTAACAGACAGACAGTCCCAGGGGACGGCAGGAAGGTAGTTCAGGAAGGGTGTTCCTGTGTGAACAGGAGCTCTGTGTCCTCCCCACCGTTGTCTCAATACTTCATGTCTCCAACAATGACTCCAATGACTGGAAGTACATGAAATACAGGTCACAGAGTATATATGTACTGCAGATAATGTAACTGTCTTGCACAGTGAAGATTTCTTGGTGAATTGTAATCAATATTCTTTTCTGTTTCCACAACCCATTTCATATTTTAATATATTTAATATTTTTAGCTATAAATATAAGATATCCATTAGCTTCACAAATGGGATGATTTCCCACTTTTTTCTGTTTTGCAACAGTGTAAATTTGATATTTTGGGGGTTTTGGGAAAGTTGAAGATGTCACTTATAGCTCTGAGAAATTGTGAGGGGTATTTTTCACTATTTTTGGACAATTTAGAGATTAAAAAATAGAATGATTTATAAAAAATGTATTGATTTAAGTGTTTGAGAGACATAGTATGCTGGGTGAGTCTAACAAAGACTTTTCTATATTTTGTGAACCAAAAAGTTGTATGCCTGTTTATACATAAAGTATTTGTGTGCTGTATTACATTATTTTTTAAATTAAATTACTATTGTTATATATTCTCTATGTCAGATGATAAAGGTAATATACTTACCATTTTATTCAGCCAGTTCTGAAATTAGGGGAAAAAGAGAAAAGAAAAGAATGGGAAATAAAGGGATCTCCCACACAAACTGACTTTTCATTTCAAACTATAGCGTACATCTTTAATTACCTGAAGTGAAACACTTAACTTTGATAAAGCGATTATACTTAAACGCACCCGACACTTGGACGCATGTCTTTCTCTCTGAGTTGATTAGGCTGTAGTCAGAGGGACCTTATTGGAGTTCAGGGAAATCCCTGCTGCTGAAGTGTCAGCCCTGCTTGTGACTGTCCCATGTGTTGCTTGTGGTCAGAGGGAGGATCGGGCACAGCTGTAGCATCACCTGTCACCGGATCACATGCGTTTATATGACACAGCAGTGGTGACACCCAACTCCAGCATTTACACACTGCGCAGGGTGAACAAATTAACGAAAAAGCCAATACAATAGCCTTACAATTACATAAAGTGAACCATATTTAATTAAATACAAAACGACAGCAAATTTTCAGCTCTAATGGCTAGTTGCTGTTTTTCATATCATGTTCATCTTATGGAGGCCAGATAAACAAGAATTGCTTCGGCATTTCTGTCATAAGCAAACAAAATTATGTGATGTGGCAAAAGGAAAAGTCTCACAAATCGTGAAACAACATTCAGTCCGGTATGGCAAACACAGGAACAAAATGTATTAGCAAAGAGGAACAGTGGTCACAAGTAGACTGTCACCAACACTGACTGTGGGTCTCATGGCAGGATATTTGCATAACAGACAGTACAAGCTGCAGCCTTAGAAATTACCTGTGAGCTGCCAGAGTCATCACTTACCAAATTGGTATTAACTATGGAACACAATGTGGTTAAAAAAAAATTAAACACAAACAAAAAACTAAACAACCCCCCACCTACGCACACAAATGTCTTTCTTTGTGATTTTGTCCTCTCTCACCTGCTTTTGCTCTTCTCATATATAACCACACCATCTCTTTCGCCCACATCCACACTTGGAAACACATACAATGAGAGTCTTGCAACACGCAAGCTCACAACTAGTGTCACATTCTAACACATGCACTCTTACACAACATCTCACTTTTGCATCTCTCACCCACATCCCTCTCCAGAGAACGCACACATACACACAATCAATGGCTATAAATAATTCTTGTGTGTCTGCAACACGCCTGTCTAATTATTTTTTTCTTTTCCCTCGGTGGGTCTCCTGGGCCACTCCTTTTAGACACACAGCAGGAGGAATTCCTGATCCATTTTAAGCTCCGACGAGAATGTTGATAAGTCTGTAGATTACTGCCCAACATGTTTATGATAGCCTATTATTCTCTAAGCTTCATCCGGGCCCAGCGCGTGCTTCAACTACTTAGCACAACTATTTAGGTCATGGTACAATCTCAGAGGAAAGCACTGTGGATGGTGAAATATCACAAACCCCAGCAAAAAGGGTCACCAGAAAACAATTCTTGCTCTGCCATGCTGGATATTTAGGATCAAATAGCTATGTTATGGCACAGTTTACATGTAATTGAAAAAAGTCACAGTCAGATCTTTTAGGTAGCCAGTGAACTTGCACATGACCTAAAGTTCAGAAAAGTAAAGTACTGTGCTATCTTTAGCTGTAGATGCACACAACTCTAAAACACAAGTTTTGTTGTAATGAGATGAAACTTGAAACAGAGATTTTTGCTGGCAGAAAAAGGGAAACTGATATATTTGTCTTGAAGCTAAGGTTCATCAGACATTTTGACAATGCTGAGTTGTTTATAAATTGTGATCATTGGCGTGCTGAGATGTGATTTCATTCTTTTCTGTGACACACTCTGATATTTCAGATTTACGCTTCCTATTATGGCTCATATTTCAACAACAATAATAGCTATTAAATGTCCCGCTCTGCCATAAAAATGTCCAGGCCATCAGGCACACACACTAAAAGATGGGGAGAAAGAGGGGCCATACCCTTAAGCCTATGAAAATGCCATTGATGTTAACTATCTCACTGTGCCTTGCCAGAAATACTGCAGTTGGGCCAGAGTTGTTTGCTATCAGTGTCTACTAGAGACAGGAGTCTGAATCTGTCTGTTCTGCCTGGTGCGTGAGATGTTATGGCTCTTTGATGTGCTTTGCTGTTTAGGCTTTGATTTACGAAGCGCCATCTTTATCATTTTCGCTGGTTTCTTGAAACCATTGGAGCCATCAGAGGATGTTGCTGTGTGTGTGTGTGTGTATGTGTGAGTGTGTGTGTGTGTGTGTGTGTGTGTGTGTGTGTGTGTGTGTGTGTGTGTGTGTGTGTGTGTGTGCGGTGTAAGTACTTCATGAGGGAACAAATAAGTACAGAGGTAAAACCAAGGCCAAGGCTGTGAAGACATAGAAAACCTCTTTGAAGTCACAAAAGAGTGTGCAACAAGCTGCGTGACTACTTTTTTTGTGGTCACGAGGGTGTACATGAGTGTTGTCTTGATGTGTATTTGTGCAATGTCCTCACTGTATTTGCATGTCACCAGGCAGTCTGTTGTCTGTTTACCTCTATCACTCAAATGGAGCCATTCATCTGTGTTCACACCAGGGTATGGCTGGCTGTGCCCTGTCAGAGATGTCTCTGTTGGGTGACACACCTGTGTTTACAGTTGGAAAGGCATGTAAACAGCAGCGGCCTGTATGGGTGTGTGTGTGTGTGTGTGTGTGTGTGTGTGTGTGTGTGTGTGTGTGTTCGCCCCCTCAGGGATCATATAGCTCAACAGCTTTTGTAATGAGTGGCTTTAGCAGGTAGACGGCGACTGGCAGACTAACATGTCATTATATGCCGCACTGCTCTGTCATTGGGATGGCAACTATATTAAAGAGGCAGATGGATAGAAAACAAAAGGACAAACTCTCTGACATTCTTTGTTTGTTTCATAATGCAGCTCTACACTATACTTATCTGTGTTTATCCCGGAGACACCCAGCTGACCTAACCTGTTTGTCTTTTTTCATCGTGTTAAATCCAGGTCCATCAGATGGACCAGAAAATGGACTCTGTCCTGCAGATCCTGATGGAGCAGTTTCCGCCCAAACCGGAGCTGACGTCCAAGCCCTCCATTCGCAGGGTGACCATCCAGAAGTGCATGGGTGTCAGCATCGACGAGGGGCCCTGATATCACAGCAATGGTCACACTGGGTATGATGACGCCATCACCAAAGGAGAAGTATAGGACCAGGAGTTCACATAAACAGCCTAGCCCCCCTAAATGGCGGCCAGCTTTCAAATAATAAAGGGATTCAGTCTTCCAAACCTCCTCCATCTCTTCCATTTGCAGTCCCAAATTTTCTCATTGACTTTTGACCACAGAGAAGAGAACAACTTTTAATTGTCCACTTAGCGCTGCATTGCTGTGGGGCATGAGGGCAAGAGTACCACTTAGAGTGGGATTCAAGGTGTAGAAAGATGGCTGACTGACCTCTTTCTTCTGATGATTGTCTTTGAGTCTTTTTTCTTCTTCTAAATCTAGCTTTCTCTTCTACACCAGCATTGTGGGCCCTCAGTCTACCCCTGAAGCACACAGTCATTCAAGCAGCAACACGCTGCATGAATTTATTTCACTACATTAGCCTCATAATCACACTACTCAGATAATGTTAATTTATGTGTGGCCTGTCACTGAGCTGCATTCCCCTACTCCAAATATTATTCCAAAGCTAACTAACCCAGTAATGAAGTTGTAATGCAATCAAAGCACTCAAGTTCCCCAAAGACACAGAGAAAAACTGAGAGTCCAGCCATGGCAGAGGCATTCCTAAAATCCTTCTGATTATCTTGGCACCATCCACACCCAGTACACAACAGGGTTATTTCCATAGCCACATATCCATCTAGCCTAACTGTACTTAGGCTGCACCGGGTGTTTGTTAGTAGTGATCAAATAACACGAGGAGGGAAGGGCAGATTATCTGTTGACTTTGCCCTGCGTTAGGGACCGGAAGGCTGGAGTAAAAGAAATGGAGTTAAAGAGATGTGTCTGGTGCACATGGTGCTGATTTACAACTACGTTGAAGCTAATAAAAATAGCCAAACTGTTGGTGACAGGCCCGGTGTGTTACAGGAATACAGTCAGAAATTATGGCGTGGTCTCTCAGTTTCCTCACTGGGAGACTTTATTATGTATTGATCTCAACACTTTTAGTAGCTCCACAACTCACACCACCACCAAGGCCCTGCTAATATCCTCTATTACCCTCTTCAGGGGGCTCACACTGCTGTGTGCAATTTGAAATAAATTTGCCCCATTAAAGCTCTGATTATTTTTTCTCTCCAGAGCTAATTAAGTGCTGAATTCCTGGTAAGGGGAGATTACTCACTGTGAGGGACTAATGAAAAGAAACACTGGAAAATGTGCAGAATTTAAACTGTAAGCTTTGAGGAACAGGCGCACTAATTCTCTGTGAAAGGTTTGGAAATATCCACCTACTACTGAGAGCACACGTTTGAAATAAAAAAGACAATGCTCTCACTTTGTTCCCATACTCTAAGTATTTATCTGATGCTGAGGCATGTAGGATGTAGAAAATAGAAACTAAGTCTAGCTATGTAGCTACTATATGAAAGGCTTCCCATTATTAGACAAATGCACGTCGTCTAGAGGAAGGGTGAAAAAGGGAAGGGGATAGAGGAAAGCCTTTCTCTCTGCACTAGTATATATTTTCATATTTTTGCTGTGTTTAAAATTTTTAATTTATCTTACATTAAATAAAGTGGTTGTATTTTAAAGGCACTCTCATTTTGTGACATACCTTGATACATATCTGCCTGTCTGTTCTCCTGTACAGTTTTATAAAAGTTGTAAATAGAAACATTGCCTTATTGCACTGTATTTATTATCATGTGGAAAGATCAACCTGGAACATGTCTGCTTGTTGAAGTGATGAGAAACACAGAGAGTGAGGCTCCTGTTGTACAGATGGATGGAAATGATTGTAAATGATATTCACGCACACCCTCTGCACTGTAGCTCTGTTGTAAATAATAAAACTCCATTTCACTATACTCTGGCCTGCTCTCTTAGTTTGGGAAGAATTTGATTACCAGCTCATCTATTCCATAATTTGCTTTCATTGGAGGGTGAAACCTGTCTTATAGTTTTTGGGGCTGTTTGTTCAAATCTTGAGCCGAGCTGGGTCAAGGTAAGCCATGGGCCGGAGTTTCCATCCAAATAAAATCTCCTCAACTCCTCATTTCACTAAATTCCTTTCACACTGCAATCACCGTGAAGGGGGAAGAGAAAGAAAAAATAACACGTTCACCGCACCTACTTTGAACTTCAATATTCCATAACCCATTGAACAAGGCATGCAGAGGAAAAAGAGAATACGTCTCATATTACCATTCAATTATATTTGCCTTCAAAGGCCAAAAAATACTGGGGATGTCCCAAGATCAGCACGGTCCAGCGCCGAGAGAGAGAGAGGGGAGGAAGGAGGGAGGGTCATCCCGTGGGAGGGGTGTACAGAAAGAGAGAGAGAGAAGGAGGAAAGCAGCAGCATAAGTGAGCTAGGAAAGAGAGCAAAGCCATTTTCAATTAGGCAGAGAGACTACACGGGCCGGAGGGCTGCAGTGCTCCGCTGCCTTTTGTCCTCCTCTGGTTTCTATCACTGCTGGGGGATTTTGGCAGGGAGAGAGAAAGAGAGGGAAAAAAGAGAGACCCCATGGCTACCTCCGTCTGCAGAGGCCGCTCTGTGTCACCCCGTGCTCCTCTTTCATCTCAAGACTAGACAGAGAGAAGAGAGAGACTCCCACTTCAAAAGACAGTTTGATCTCAGAAGTACACAGGAGCACAACCTAAAAGAGGATCTGAGGAAGCAGTTAAAAGGAGAATATAAGGGACACACTGTCAAAGATGCTGGACAGTGAAATCTGGCAATCCCAGAGTCTGTGAAGAGAAGGAACTCATGCTAGGTCATGAAATGCTAGACTCTCAGGGCTTTGTCGACCGTCCATGTTGTGTTTGATCCTGCCACCTGCGCCACACTCAGAATAGAACAGAACTTCATTATGTTGCTGAAAATAGGCTAGTAGAACATAAAAATCACAAATAACACAAAACAGACTAACCACTATTGTGGTACTTGTACATTTTATACATAAAATGATGCAAATAATCAGCCGAGACAATGCTGCAATACCAAAAAAACTGCTATGACCTTTTAGTATTGTAGTCAAGATACAAAAGAATCAACGCAACATGTGCATTTCTATGGAATCGCACTCACTTGTGTTCATTATCCTTACCAGTCACTAAACCCATAATTTAATGTAATTCACCATGGGTGTAGTTTATTGTTTTTGTTTGTAAAGCAGAGAAATTGCATGAAAATGGTACAGTATAAATGTTAGTTTTTATAGGTAAGGTAGTAGGCAAGTTAGGTTATTTAACCCAAACCTAACCAGGTCGTTTTTGTGCCTAAACCTTACCAAACTACAACCTTTTAAACTTGTGAATTTTTTCTCAGCAAACTTTATTTTTTAAGTCTCACTGGATGTTGCGTATCAGTTGTTCCTAACTTGACAACAGAGCCCTAGCATGCAAAACCATTTTTGACGATTTGGGAGCGAGAACATGTTGGCTGGAAACAAACAAGATTCAGAATTAATAAATAACATTAGAATGTTGCTCTTTGTCTGTTCAATGTGTAATTAAGCCACTGTTTGCTAACACAATAACTTTATCATCTTCATAATATGATAATATATCAGTACCGTCTTTACAGCTTGTTGCACCGACCCCAAGTGGCCAAACATTGTAGATTTAAAGTCAATATTTTATTGATCGTCTGTCAAATTATTCATATGTTTTTTGTTTGAAGATATATGGGTCAGTCCCAGTTAAAATTGGTGCCGTCTGTTGTTGCTTTCAACCCATGTATCTCAAAGTATGTTTCCATCAACTGGTTCTTATGTGCAATTCAAGAATTGCGAAAACCTTTTTACACTTGGCTGAAGTGGAAAAGTTGGTGTATTGATAAAGGCAAAAGGCTTCTGCTCCATCTTCTGATCCCTGTGGAGTGATGTGGAGACTGTAACATCCCTCAAATTAATACATGAAACAAAGAGAAATTCCTTATTTTCATCACATTTTTTACATTGCTTTCCACTGTTTGACATGCGCTCTCTTAATCACGTCATCTTGTTGCATTCCCTTCTTCTGAACTGTTTTATTGGCACCCAACTGGAGAATTAATGACACCAGTTGATTATCTTGATGAACATAACGGTAGTGCATTTTCTTTTGCTGGAAAATTGGTTTTAAGATTACTAAGCATTATTGATAACATTACAATCCTTCACTAAATATATAATTATATATAAAGAAAATTCATCTTGAAATTAGACATTTTAAAGATCATGACGAGAGGACACATCAAAGGAGCTGTGTTGTGTCCAGAGATGAACAAAGTGATGTTGGGCTGGTGGATCCAGGGGACCAAGCATTCTATGGCTCATGTACCTTCCCCATAATTCCCAAAAAAAAAAAAAAATTCTGCCAAAAAACAGCCAAACATACTTATCTAGTAGGCTGTGGCTGCTGAGCGGGTGGTAGTTGTCAGGCTGTGGTCGTGCCTGCCCACCATGGGGGTGCCTGGAGGCCACCTGTCTAGAGAGGCCCAGGCATTTAGAGGACCAGCAGTGCTATATGAAAGCAGATATGAGTCAACAGGTGTGTGTGCATGTGCATGTGTGTGTTTGTACTATGTCAAACCAAGATTGTGACAAACAATGTCAGCAGCAGCTGATGCCAGCCACTCTGTCAGGAGTTGTCCCTAAATAGCTGAGGGCCAGCAGTTGCCTGGAGGACAGTTGCTACAGCTCCACGCCCTCCCCCGCATCTCCTCACCACAAAATATTTGACATTCCCATTTTTGAGTCTTTAAAGGCACACTATGCAAGATTTCTACCTTAATATAACAGCTTCGAAGTCATTTCAATGGTAAACGAACTTGTAGTATAGCGAATCATCCCGATAGCAAAGCAGGAGAGGGACGCCGTTGGCAGAACCAGCAATGCAAGTCTGAAAGGTGGCGTCCCGCCAAATCTTGCGAGAATCACAAATTGCTTTACGGCGCGACGTCACATACATCAGCGACATAAGAAGCAGCCTCAATGGAAAACACTAGCAGGCATTCACTCAGACGTTACCTGGTCAGTAGACATCTTCGGAGTCTATCTTTGCCTGTTTGATGTCAGACGCTTCCATCCGATTGAACATGTACCGGTATAAGGAGGGGGGGGGAATCAGGCCGTGAGTGCAGAGACGCAGAGCCGTATATAGAGATGGCTCTGGTGAGTGATATTTACGACAGTTAACGTTAAATACAAGTATTCCGCAGCGACTCTAGGGGTAGCTGTTTGACAAAACCGGAAAACTGTATAGTATCCCTTTAAGTATAAAATAGAGTGTTCCAGTTCACTTTGATTGGCTTAGTCTGGCTCAAAACCATCATGAAACACCCAATAAACACACACCTGTGATCCCATTAGAGTATTCATGTGTGACCAAGAAAATCCCAGCTCATACAGAAACTGAAAGGGAGTTGCTTGGAAGAATAATGTTATAGAATTATTTTTGGCTAAAGATTTGACATCATTCTGTGATTATGTAGGCAGTTTGGCATGGTCTACCAAGGTCAAGCTTGAGCAACAAGAGACATGAGACATAGCTGTTCATGTTGCGCCTAACAGCACCTCTTAGATGTCAAAATCACTGTTAAGCCCTTTTATTACTGAAGTATTGACATGGTTTCCATGGTTTCATGGTTTCTAAATGCAACAGTGGTAAAGCTGTCCTCTTAAATGGCCCCGCAGAACTTGGGGCTCTGTTTTCAGGGCCCTCTGTGTTCCCCTATCTCAACTCAGAAAACTGGTTTTCTATGCAGCCTTTCACAACAGCAACAGATACAGTATGCCCTTTGACCCCTTCTCTGTTTGGTCCGAGCAGTGCGACATCACCCCATGGGATAATAAATCAACCAGAGGCCAGGAGGTTAGATTGACCCCCGTGACCTTTGACCTTACAAGATTTCCCTCAGCCATATGTCTGTGGCTCACCAATGCCCCACCCCTCCCCGGGACCAGCGGAAAGCTCAGCAGCCAAGACCAACAGCATAAACCGGTACCGGTCAGATACAAAGTTCCATCGAAGCTGCTCAGTTTCACATCCTGGGTCCAGCCAGCCATAGAAACCCCTCCCAGGGCTGGCTATGCTACGTGTGACTGCTGCTAATGTGTTGTTATGGCTGCTGCAGTTTTGAGCAGAGGTCCGAGCACACTTTGAGGGTGTGGGTATGAGGTGCGGTAGAGGGGGAAAAGGAAAGCTGGCTGGGGGCTGCCTATATAGGTCATATTATTGGGGACTTTTCCCCCAGACAGGGAGAGAATTCCTGGCTAGAAACTGGAAGGACTTCAGTGGTGTGCTGGGGTTTGGCCCGCCGAGGCAGAATGTTAGGCATGGTGGACAGCTGCACCACAGAGCTACTGTAAGAGCGAAAAGGGGGGCTGTTATTTCAGAACAACACAGACGTGATATACTATACAAGCTTTGAATATCAGTCTGATGTTAGGTTTCGATGTGTACAAGTATTTTTAATTATAAAAGGGAAGTGAAAACAGAATATGTCCATGAGGTCTGAGGATTACCTGAAAAACTTCAGAAATGGTTTCACTATTAGTGATGTCTTTTTACACACAACACAAATTCTCAGAAATGATGTTTGAAGAATGAGGTTTCAGGGACGATAGAGATATGAGACAATTTCTACTCAACTTATATCTAGTCTGTTATTTACAGCATTTTTTTTTGCAAATAAGGATCTTATTTTATACCTGCCTTCTCTCATTTAAATATGCACAGCAAGGCCATTCAAAATCCCCAAAACAGCACCACCGTAATGTGCAGTGAGTGAAAATTGAAAACAGAGTGAAAAATTGAATATTGGGAAGCCAATGGACCACATCCACGGCTGTCCAAAAGCAGAGGTAGGTTTCAAATGGTG